CTTATGTTTGGCTTATTCAATCGATAATAGTAATTGGAAGATTGATATTGAGGTACCAGATCGAATTATATTGATATTAATAATATACGACATGCAACATCATATGTTTCATTGATATTGGATTATCATAATCTACTTATGTCCGCATAGATTAGTGTAATAGAATGAAAAGTTATTCTTAGTAGAGATTTAACTAAAGCGAGTTCGAGATAATTCTTCGCTAATATGGGTACCATAAATATTGAGTTAAAACAATGAATATTTAACAGAGGTGCCATTTTTTACTTGTCGAGTTGTTGTCAATTTGTCTATTAAGCTAATATCAGTCTCTAGACAGTTCGTAGATTAGAACAAAAAACAAACATTTTGTTTGATTTGTCAGACATTCACGCAATATAATATACTATCCCAACAGAACAGTGAACAATTGTAAATTTATTTGTTTATTTTAGCGTCCGTGTAGGTTGACTGTTTTCTTCGTTAGAGAGGTTTCGGTATCCACAGAAGGTATAATTTGCAAATTTGAACTTGAAAAAAATTCGAAATAATTTATGAAGAATTCAGTCGCGAAAGAGACAACTCTGAAAATTTATTTTACACAAATGGATATATGTTTTATTTTTTAAAAAAAGTAGGAATTGCCGCATTTGACTTGTCTTTAAAAAGTGGTTGTCGTGAGCTCAGTGAAAAATAAGTTTAAGTTGTTTTTTGCTATCATGTTTGTTTTACTAAAATTATTTCGGTAGTCTGTATAGGAGTTTCAGCAATTTTTGCTATTCCTGAATAAGCATTTTTTCGAACATGCATTTACAATGATCGACTGTGTGTCAAAAGTACAATATCATGACGTCAATTTATGTACATTCATATCCGCGTTTAGAGCAAAGAAAGGAGACTAAAATGAGAAAGTTGTGAAACTAGCACAGCGTTTCTCAACCTTTTTTGGTCGCGGACTGTTTTCACATCGGCGAAAACCTTTGCGGACTCAACGTGCGTTTATTGCAAATGTACTCGGTGTGAAAAAGTAATAAAACCAAACACAACACAATTTTACGATTTCCAAAATGGAAAATTCGCCGCAATTGCGCGTTTGTTAAAAGAGTCGAATTTCTAGTGTGTATGGCCATTTCTGTCGCACAATATTCAGTCCATGACAACGACGAGAATTTAAAATTTCTTTCTATTTCAATTTAATTGTGTTCATGGTCACCGCGGTCGCGTCGACTTATGACAAGATGAGAGCATTACTTCTTTGAAATGCCATGGCTATCTGCAAACATAATAATATGAGAATATATTGCCCGATTATATTAGTTTTGATACATATTTTTTTGCGATCTTGCGAATTTGTTATCGCCGTTAGAAAATTTCTACTATCTGCTATAAATTTCCAGAAAGTACAACTTGATTTAGTATTTAATAAAAATATAATCAATGTATATATATTAGTAAATCAAAAAAAACAATTTATCGCCCTGTTTTAATATTAATTTAGTTGTGATCATTTTAATCTGCGGTTGTGTTGACGAAATAAAAGCAATACTACTCAAGAATATCACGACAATCCGTGGACACAAAAATGCGTGGTGAAGTGCCCGATTATATTTTGTTTTGATTCGTGTTTTTGTAAATTTAACAAATCTGAGCTGTTCGTACAACACTTACGGCGCTCCAGTACTGCACGTACCAGAGTCGAGACAGTAAAGCAAATAATCCAAAGGGGAAAAGCACTTAGTACAGTAGCACCCAAATTTTTGCGATTTGCAATGTATAAAAAAGCGTTTAAATTCGACAAATCTGAGCTGTTTGTACAACACGTACGGCGCTCCAGTACTGCACGTACCAGTGTCGAGACAGTAAAGCAAATAATCTTAAGGGAAAAAGCCCTTATTACAGTATACTACAGCAGCCACCGAAATTTTGCGATTTGCAATGTATAAAAGCGTTTTTAATCTGTCGTGGACCATCATAAAACAAAACTTATGGTGTTGTCCATTTTATTTTTAGTATTGCCGCTTTTCAATTAAGAAAATTTAGGTTGCCAACATTGATACCTACCAGAAAAAAAAACATTATTCCTAGTTGTTCAAGCGCGCGAGAAACACCATTAAGGTATCTATCCACGCGTGTGCCGACTCGTGTTTTCGTCGGAAATCCGGAAGTGAGTTGTGAAATCCAATTGTTTGATTAAGCCACGCGAAAGTGATCTGCGCGTCACCTGTTATCAAATTTTCGAATAGTAAATTGCTATTATAATAGTTGAATATATGCCCAGCCCTACTCAGTATCCAGTAAATATTGAATCGACTAATGTTATGTGCATGAATAAACTTGCCTTTTTATGTTTAATTTAAATTCTAACGTAAAATTGTAACTTGGCTGATGGTTAAGTTTCGCAATAATGTTTTCAGCCCGCCGTGAATTTCTGGCTCGTTGCGGACTCATTCAAACACTCCGCGGACTCTGGTTGGGAAACACTGAACCAGCATATTGCAAACAAGTAAAAATGATCATATAATAAAAGTCATTTGAAAGTATTTCGCACGACCAATAATGCACTAAAAGTAAAACAGTATAGCGAGATCTTCCGTCAATTTTTCTTATGAAGGCACTGTATAAATGTTTTTTTTTTCAGTACAGGTGAAGTTTCTGGATTGATTTTACATAACGTATGACGTACTCAACGTATAACGTATTTACTTATCGTGTTATCACTCTGTTCTAACGTGCGCACCTGGTAAAACTTGCACATGATGCATTGCATGTTACATCTTCTGTTTTATGTCTGAAATGTGTTTTTTAACCGAAAATGAGCGTTTTCAGTCAATCAAAATTAAGTGAAAGGAACATCTTGCAAAAGTCAAAATTGAAGTTTTTGAAACATTTTCTGCGTATACTATAACTGCAATGTGAACAATTTATTGTAAATTATCAGAAAAATACCATGATAAAGAAATAATAAGAGCAAGCCTAAAACATTACAACCATGCGAATCGAAAAAGGTCAAGAAAAACACTATTTTGAGGTTTTTTTTCAAATTTGATAAATGTGTTGTTGAATAGATGTCTTTTAGCGAGCCCATTTTGTATATAATCCCTAAACGTACGTACCAGGTCGCGTCGGCCATATTGATTGTTCATCAATCAAATATGGAGTGAACTGTGAAACTGATCATTACATAGGATTTAAAATCAAATACCAGATTCGACTTCTCTACATTATTTATTCGATTGATATCATTTCATTGAATAATCAAGCGCTTTGAATATGTTATTCAATAGTGTATTTATATCCCACACGTTGATTATTAAAAATATATATTCGTAATATGGAGAATAGCGTTTATTAGTATAACATGTTGAACACTATCAACAGATTGTTTGGCTAAATTTCACACTGTAAAAAAAAGCTTGTTTCAATCACTAGAATTTGTCAGTAATTGTGTTTGTAATTGTAATTGTGTAATTGTAATTGTGACCTCACGATTCGTAATATTTGTCATACGTGCTGCTCATGATTTCAACAAACGGCACAAATATAGACTACGCGCAGTAAATAATAAATTGTCTAAATCAAATTACGGTCGAATACTAGGTGAATGATACTCATTATTCATTTTGATGTTTTAGTTTCATTATGGACAAGGATTCGGCAATTCCAAAAGAAGCTTTCCAGTTGCGTCGTCATTCATTTTGAAACGTTATAATTTAAATCTGTTATTCGTGGATAACGCGTTTTATTAATTAATGCTTGAGCTTACAGCCATATCGTTTTTTGTTGAAACAACAGAGGGGTGATAATTTGATTGTCGTGGTGTATTTGGGATTTTGAGACGTAGCATTTCACCGACGATTTGTGTATTTCACCAAATACCGAAAATTCAGGTTTCAATGAATTGGTTTCAACAATGAATATTCAACAGAGGTGCCATTTTTACTTGTCGTGCTGTTGTCAATTTGTCTATTGAGCTCATATCAGTCTCTAGGCAGTTCGTAGGTTAAAACAAAAAAAAAACATTTTGTTTGATTTATCATACATTCACGCAATATAATATACTATCCCAACAGAACAGTGAACAATTGTATATTCATTTGTTTATTTTAGCGTCCGTGTAGGTTGATTGTTTTCTTCGTTAAAGAGGTTTCGGTATCCACAGAGGGTACAATTTGCAAATTTGAGTTTGAAAAAAATTTGAAATAGTCTATGAACTTCAGTCGCAAAAGAGACAACTCTGAAGTTGTTTACGCTATCATGTTTGTTTTACTAAAATTATTTCGGTAGTCTGTATAGGAGTTTCAGCAATTTATGCTATTCCTGAATATGCAATTTTTTCTAACATGTATCCACAACGATCGACTGTATGTTAAAAGTACAATCTCATAACGTCATATGTACATTCATATCAGTGGTGGGATTCAAATTTTTTGTCAGCTGGTTCCTTCACAAAAGTCATATTTTTCAGCCGGTTCTGTTACAAAGTAACCAGTAATGCTAACCGGTTTGCTGATCTCATAACATTCCGTCAGACGGTTCTACAGAACTAGTGCGAACCGGCTGAATCCCACCACTGATTCATATCCGCGTTTAGAGCGAAGAAAGGAGAGGCGGTTGCGAAACTACCAGACTGCAAGTGACAAGTGAAAATGATCATATATTCAAAGTCATTTCAAAGTAATTCGTACAGCCAAAAATGCACTAAAAGTAAAACAGTATAGCGAGATCTTCCATCAATTTTTTATATTTTCTCAAAAAGACATTGTATAAATGTAAGAAAACATATTACCATTTTAATATGTTTAAGTACAGGTGAAGTTTCTGCAATCATTTTGCATAACGTATAACGTATGTAAGGTATGACGTATGAGGTACTTTTTTGTCGTGAGATTACTCTGTTCTAACGTGCGCACCTGGCACAACTTGCACATGATGCATTGCATGTTACATCTTCTACGTTATCTAAACATGTTGAGAGTAAGCTTTGTTTTTTTGTTTCTGTTATTATCTTACAGTATTCATCAAAATAGTCTTATATATAAGCCAGGATCTCCAGCACACAACCTTGTAAAACTGTGCTACTCTTCTATGCTGAAACATATTGGTACCGACGTACAATACACAACATGGAGGACAATATAAGGTAGTTTTGAATTTGGAGCTTGAATCAAGTTATTGGCAGGAATATTAAGTCACTGTTTTTTGTCATATTAGCATAAATAAGGATTACAGACAAACATTTATTTGTACAAAATTTATCAATAGTATGGTATCGGATACACTCGAAGTGAGAGCATGGGCCGGGGCGTAAACTTACAAAGCATGCACGGCTTTTCATGTATTTTTATGAATGGGTCTCTACAGAATCAAAATCCAAGCTAATCTTTATGAAGTTCCGTAGTGACAAATACACTTGAATTAATTTAAAGAGGGTTTGTTATGAAATATTTAGGCATGGTTTTTTATTACCGTAAGTCATTTCAACGGTATTGTTGAAGTAATTTTTGAAGTGTACCTAACTAGTAACTATTATTTTCCCCCTCTAATAACAAATTGTTGTGTACTTCCAAATTTTTCAATCCAATTTTTAGATCAGTATTCAAAACAATAATGACGTCACAATTACCTAGTAATTGAATACGTATCGTTATTATAGTACGCAATATTGGCTAAACTTGAGTTCATATGCCATGCAAAGTAGTTTCAATTTAAATTGAGTTATTAATGTAAACATATAGGTACGTAGGCTCGCTTTATTCTCAATGAATGACATTATGACGTAATTTCCGTGAAATCGGAAGACTTTTCTAAGATTTTTAAGTTACTTTTGTAGGCCATGTTCATGCATACTTGATAATAGCTTGTGTATTTATATATAAATACAAAGACACAGCACGCAAAGAAAGAAATTTATAGAAAACTTAAAAAATCTAAGGTTTATTCATATCAGACATGAATTAGGTGACATGGCGACTTCAAATTCTGAAAGAGGTTGATTCAATATAATAAAACAGTAAAAAAATCAGTGAAATTTCCCCTATTTGAGGGTAATTAAATACTTTTGGTTGCGATGAAAATAGATTCATCGATACTTCTATTTAAATTATATTATATTAGTAATAGAAATTAGATAATCATGTAATCATTACTGGAAATATTAGTAATTTCACCGTTTTATTAATACGGATGCAAATCAATAAGACAATGATAGCTTCAGACTTAACGTGTGCGGTGTCAATAATAAACGTTGGTAATTTTGTCAATTCGGGTTAGATACAAATGAACAAACGTGACATCGTTACATCAGTATTAATTTGGCAAAACGTTATTGAGTTGCTTACAGTTTTAATATCCAAGAAATGGTCTAGAATTCACCTGATTAAAAGTGGATTTGTCTAAACATGAACTATTACTCTGTTATTTTGAACTTTCTATCATCTGACGTAATATCTTTAACATTTTATACACTGCATTATCATTATTTCTCTAAACGAGGTTTTGTAAAAACGACCACTGTGAGGATAGATTATGCTGTGTTTTTTGCCTAGCTCAAATTAACATATTTTTTGCACAAACTGGTGAGTGTGATGTTCGAGATATAACCCGTGTTGCCAATATTGCTGGACCAAGCGCGCCAGCAGGAAATTAGTCATCGCCACCGACTATAAAAAATGTCCTTTCGTTATTTCGTGTATGTATGGATTTACTAAAATGTTGTTGTTCGTAAAAACCGCTTCTCTTCGCAACTAAGGGACCAATTTGTATGAATTTCAAGGAATTGAAAATGGTTGAAGCGCAAGAAAGCTATTATTTATATCAATTTTTAAATCAATCAATTTCCTCTGAGTCAATGCGGATGCCAATGTTCCACCCCAAGAGTGTTTGCTTTCTATTATAATTTTATCGATTGTAACACTTTCCTATGATACACGGTAACAACTTTATATAACATTTGATTTTTGTGTGTATATGTTTGAGCATTGCTTTCTTGTTTTATGAATTTTGTAATTTCATGTTGTAATTGCCATATTGCTCTGACGATTCAATGTACGCTAATGCATTACTCACATAACCATCACAAACAATTTCACAATGACCGTAAAACATGCAATTGGGTATTATTTCACCAAACGTATGACGTAGATATCACATCGCCTGATTTTACTTCCGCTATCCACGTGTAGATAAACATTGTTCAATATTCTAGCGAGCATTCGTGAATAAAACATCTTTGTTTAGAGAAACTCTTTTGTTTGCAATTGCTGCTTACTATTGCAATTTCAAGTCAATGTGTAAGCGATATAGTGTAACATATTTGTATTCAACTTTCGGCGTCAAATGTGGATTTTGTTAAGATATGGAGAGTTCGCTGAGGTTACATATGAGTATATCAAAAGACTGATCGTCACACGACGCATATGTTGAACCTCGCAAAGGTTGCAATAATATCAAAAGTTCATTACCTTTTATGCTATCCAACATGACTCGATGTTGTATGTTTCGCTGCTAGAAGTCATACGGGGGATCCGCTGGATTCCGTCACACTGCTTACGTTTCTTTGATGGATTTACATTTGTATTTGTATAAGTAAATAAATGATTGAACGTGTATTTACAATTTTGCTCTGGTTCTTACCAATACGTCATATTGCCTTTCAGTACCACCGCCTGGACTATGACAACACAAATGAACGGAATGCAAATTTTCCACCTCGTATTTTTATTACTTGTTTGTTTAGTTGGAACTATAGGAAATATCATGACAATTGTGGCGGTCAGGATTGAACGTAAACTCAGAGAATCGGTGAGTATGAAAGAACTGATTAATACAAGTAACAGTACAACGATATTATAAAACTTTCAATGATTCTATTTTGTTTAGCTGTCAAACATGTTCGTTATCAATCTGGCTTTGGCGGATTTGGTTGTTTGTTCCATTGTTGTCCCAATGATGATATCTCATGACGCACACGCTGAAATATTACCAGGACCCTATTTGTGCTACATCATGGTTATAATATCTGGAATCGCATGTCACACGGCAGCTGCCACAATGACTGGTATTGCTGTAACAAGGTAAATTAGTACTTTTTACACCTACTCCCCGCAACTTTTCTTGCTTTTTTTTCGATCACCTGTTTCTCCTTTTCCCAATCGGTGTAATTATTGGAGTTGTTGTTAAAGCTAGTATTTCTCTGCAATCATGGACCAGGCAATTACAAAATTTCCACATTCGAGATTTAAAAAAAAAAACGCTACGAAGTTATTACTTTTACTTTAATTTTTTCTAAACTCTATAGGGGCCAACATTTTACCACACATTTTGCTGGCTCACAATCGCATCTTCATTTCATTTTAGATAACATTTGGCTGGAATTTTGATGATATTGCAATAGCCATATTACACATTTGACCCCATGTGTTAATTTGGCATTGCTCTTGCTTTTTCCGCGCTTCATTTATTTCTCCTTTTTCTACATATCTTGTTCGCCTGTTCTGCCATGGTGTTCACCCATTTTCATCGTAAATCATCTCTTACCTTTAACTGTTCTTCTGAAGTGCATTTGTCCTATTTTGTACTAAAGATTTTCAATGTTCAGATACGTCGCGGCTTCTCGAGCAACAAGATACCACGACATCATCACGAAGGGAAGAGTATTTGTCGCCATCATTGTAGTATGGTTATTTGCTGCTCTTAACACAACACCTATATTATTAGGTAATTCTGGAAATAAAAATAAGATGTCGCACCGGAATTATTTTTGAACACATTGTTACTGAATCAAAAATAACATTTTAACTTTATGATTTATCGGATGAATTTCTATTTACAGCCTGGCTTGAAGTAGACTCGTTGGATTTGAACAATTACGTATGCGTTTGCTTCGATGGTACATTTGCTCTCTACTACACTCTAGGACCAGTCATCATCGGACATTTTTTGCCGCATGCCATCACAGTATTTTGCTATTACAGAATAATGAGGGTGAGTTGGCTGAACAGTGAAATATCCCTAAATGATGAAAACATGAAACGCACGCATAAACATACATAAAACATCCCACGTATGGATGATAATAAGAGTTTGTTTGATATATATAATAATCGACAGTATATATCATGTTTTAAAATATTCGAGATTCTTCCCCCATTTATTACGATTGGGTAACTAGGTAGAGCGACATCCTCTAAAACTGATTATCCATCAACTAACGTCAGCTTGGGTAGTTTTCTAATTGGGCACGAAATGTGCATGTGAATCGTTCCGTAAATTGCAGTTGTTGTTCTTGTTGTTGGAGGTATTATTGTTTTTGAGAGAATATTCATTCGTGCCCTGTTTAAAGACCGAGGGGGAACGCTGGCCGGATTTAGGGGATGGTAAGCAACATCTCATTGACGTTCTTTTTTTTTATTTTCGTTTATTTTATGCTTGATAATGCTATGCCCATCAACAGAATTGCTTTTTATGCGTATTCATTCTTTTTGGTTTGTTAAGGTTACTCAAAAAACATGGGAACGAATTAAACTCCACATTCTGTAATAAACTGAATATACTTTTATCGTTCTCAGGCAATGCGAAAAAGTAGAAAGCGAGTAACTTCATCGTCTGTGGGAACATTGACTTCTGTCAGCGGAGGTAAGAACATAAAGTTTATGTGATTATATTATTGCAGTGCTTTTAAATCTCGTTTATCGTCTTCTTTTCCTTGTCAAAATAAGCATAATCTTTAAGTATTTGTTTTTGTTTATTTGAATATTAAATTTCATCAATTCAGCCGATAAAGATAAAGAAAAAAGGAAAAGTACAACTCTAAACAGTGAAACTGAAGGAGAATCACAAACGGTAATCATGTTTTCACACAAAATTGAAAAATGTATCGAAAATTTAAGTAACAACATCCACAGAAATGATTCACTTTAATTATCATACGTTCAATTAGATGCAGAAGCTAATTTTTCCTAATATTTAGTGAGTGCCTATGTATGGGAAAAATATTTTTGCCAAAGATTCTATGTCCTCATTTACGTTATTGTTAGTCGACTCATGTTGTATGGGAGCATATGAAGTATATTTATTTTGTATGGCTCTTCTGATATATCAACACAAAAAAGTCTTCAAGTTAATCTCGTCGTACTTTAGTTTCACTAAGTTTTTCGACTTTCAAATTAATAACCGATATATGCAGTAGTGATTTTTATTTTTGTACACCAGAAAATTTAGTTTTTCAACTCCTTATTTGCATCACAAGAATCAACACCCTGAGTGTGTTTCAAATTTTTAGTTCAAAATATTGAGGTATCTTAATTAATATCATTTCTGGGCAGACACTTTCAGTCAGCAATTGGTCAAAACACGAAGTTCAACTTTTGAAAACATCAATGTGGATCATCGGATTTTTCAGTTTCTGTTGGATACCGTATGGTATCTTAGTCATTTTGCAAGATCTTGCTCCAATTGAATTAAAGAAGGTAATTCTGAATATATGTGTCATAATACATTTGCATTTTACAACTATGTGAAATGATGGAATAATACTTTTCTTATACCACGTGCCTTCTTCATTGCAAAATGACGTTTTATTTGATATATTTAAAAAAAATTTCATGATAATGATTATTGAAGCCGTATTGAATTCTTTCCATCCTGTTCTTTATATTATTACAGACGTTTGGCAGTCTTTGTCTGCTGAGTTTTTCGTTGAACCCAGTAATATATGGATTACTGAGCAAGAGTTTCAGACAGGCTTACAAAAGAATCATTGTAAAGGTAACATAATTAGAACCGAAATGTATACACATCGACAATTTTGTTGTTGTTATTAGTTTTGTTTGGATTCTTGCGGCTGTTGTGAAGAATCATTTTTCTCATAAACTAATGGAACAATCTGTACCCAATTTTCTAGTGCTTTAACATTTCCGAGGCTATGGGGCCCGATATTTGTCTTTCAATTTTGTTGTTTTATTTTATTATTATGTGACATTTGACCTTTTCATTCCGTCACACTAGTCTGAATTGCAATTTTGTTGAACTTCATTAGTAATTTAATTTAGAATTGAAGATTTTGAATGATCAGATAAAAGGTTTATGTGTAGTTCGCATAGCTAGCTTCGCACGCCACGGATTTTTTGTTGATGAAATTTTTGGGCTTCAATTAGCTATAAATATCAAAAACGTGCTTTTATTTAGGTATTTTGTGGATTTTGCTGCTTTCGTGGTCTGGATGATGGAATTCGTTCTACTCCTTCATTAACTAATCGAAGAAAATCTGATAAACAGCGTTCGTCACCTAGAGCAGCGCAATACCAAGCATCAGTATGTTTTCCTCTTTGTATTTAGCTAAGATTGGCCTATATACATTTTTAAATATTTATATCAATCTTGCATCTTGTAATGGCAGGAATCAAGTGACGAAGTGAGGTTTCAATACGGACGATCATCGCCTTCACATATCACATAAAAAAACGAAATTAAGAAGAAGTCAGTTTAAACAACCATAGTTCAATTTAAACAGCACAAAACCAAAGACATAAATTCTGTGCCGCCTCAAACTTCAGGGAATTTTCATGTGATCTGTGACGAATGTCTGTGTATGCATATCTTCAACTTCGGATTCATCATATGAATGACATGCTAATTAATTATCTCTATCACAATGCTAAGGAAACTATATATATCGCACGATTTTATTCAGAGCATACCCTGAACTCAAACTTCAGGGAATTTTTGTGTGAAGCTGCGATCAGGAAATTTTTATGTGATCTGTGACGAATGTCTGTGTATGCATATCTTCAATTTCGGATTCATCATATGATTGACATGTTAATTAATTACCTCTATCACAATGCTAAGGAAACTATATATATCGCACGATTTTATTCAGAGCATACCCTGAACTCAAACTTCAGGGAATTTTTGTGTGAAGCTGCGATCAGGAAATTTTTATGTGATCTGTGACGAATGTCTGTGTATGCATATCTTCAATTTCGGATTCATCATATGAATGACATGCTAATTAATTACTTCTATCACAATGCTGAGGAAACTATATCGCACGATTTTATTCAGAGCATACCCTGACCTCAAACTTCAGGAAATTTTTGTGTGAAGCTGCGATCAGGAAATTTTTATGTGATCTGTGACGAATGTCTGTGTATGCATATCTTCAACTTCAAATTCATCATATGATTGACATGTTTATTAATTACCTCTATCACAATGCTAAGGAAACTATATATATCGCACGATTTTATTCAGAGCATACCCTGACCTCAAACTTCATGGAATTTTTCTGTGAAGCTGCGATCAGGAAATTTTTATGTGATCTGTGACGAATGTCTGTGTATGCATATCTTCAACTTCGAATTCATCATATGATTGACATGTCAATAAATTACCTCTATCACAAAGCTGAGGAAACTATATCGCACGATTTTATTCAGAGCATACCCTGACCTCAAACTTCAGGGAATTTTTCTGTGAAGCTGCGATCAGGAAATTTTTATGTGATCTGTGACGAATGTCTGTGTATGCATATCTTCAACTTCGGATTCACCATATGAATGACATGCTAATTAATTACCTCTATCACAATGCCGAGGAAACTATATCGCACGATTTTATTCAGAGCATACCCTGACCTCAAACTTCGGGAAATTTTTTGTGTGAAGCTGCGACGCATGTCTGCGTATGCATACCTTCAACTTTGAATTCAATATATGCTGAAAATGCTAATTAACTTCATCTATGACAATGCTGAGAAAACTATATTGCACGATTTCATTCTGAACATATTATAAAAACTACTAACCTTAAATGCAAAATTTACGTATATTCAAATTCTGTCCTATTTTCAATTGATTCAATATGAATTGATTTTCTGTTCATGCCGAATATTTATTCATTTCCCTTCCGTTTCATTCTTAACGCATCATCCAAATCTTTTCAAATAAGAAAAGTAAACTTGCACTTACATCTGCCATATTTATATTTTGAATATGTGAACATACATACACATCATCTGCTTAGTTCCAGATAAATTCAATTGTTTTGTTTACGAAAGTTGTTACTGTTGCAATGTTACTGAGAATGTTAGTTCCGTTGCTGCATTTTTTTTGTAAATATTTATTTCATATTTTTGTGTTGTCTACGTTCTTCAATAAAAAAATACTTCCTAATCTGCAAGCGAAAGAGTGGGCTATAATATATATATATATATATATATGTTAAATAAAGTTGTGGCCCGCGGTATCACCCAGTTATTTGTATCTGGCCCTCCTGTATTAAAGGTGCACACCCTTGAAACTAAATAGTTGAAAGTGACAACAATAAGAAATTTCATTTGCGTCAAATCTTTATTCGTGCTTATGTACTCATTATATTCTCTGCACAGGACATATATGTACTAAGATTTCGATAATCGCGAAATACGCTTCGAAGTTGAAGAATTGTATTTAAGTATGACTGACTTTACGATTATAGCGTAAGCAACTACATATTTTGTAATACTTCTATAATGTTGCATTGTCTTCGTTCAACAAGTTAATTGAAAAATGTAACTGGACTATTTTTTCATCAAATATCATATTTCCTATAAATCATAAGGACATTGCGTTTAATTGTTGCAGACATTGTTTATGACATTGCGTGTATCTCAAAGCTATTACCATTATTAAATAAATATTTAACGGCTTGATATAATTTGAGGTGAATGACCGATAAATACTGTTTATTCACTGGCCTATACTACGTATAACCAACCTTGCAAATGCAATCGAAAGGAATTGAAATTGACATAACCCTCCGAAATGAATTCAATTATTATTCTTCCCATCTTAATAAAAAAAATCGCTTTTCTCTTTAATCACTGGAATGAAATATTTTGGGGTGAATGGCCGATAAATACCGTTCATATCACATACCAGGACTATTCAACCAATTTTACCAAAAAATCCGGATACAATACTTCAAAATTAGTCGGGTCCGGTCTTTCCAAAAATTATATTTCTACATCCCTAATTAAACGCGCACTTCCTCCGCCAGCTATACTACGTATGACCAACCAAGCAGATAACCCACTGAAATGAATACAGTTCGCCATCTTTGTGGTTGTCTGATCAACTGTTCAGCATTAGAAATAACTGAAAAATTTGAAATATGTTTCAATATAAATATATACTGTAAACTAAAATGGATTCCCTGCTTCGTACCAATGTCACAATTCGATGATACCAATATTAACTACCATTGTTCTAGGTGGCGCACTATTCCTTGATTCCAACAGCTCCTTTTCTGAGAAAAGCTTCTGCCCTGAAAATTACCCCGATGTCGTGGCATAAAACAGAAAATTTTGATTTTCCGTCTTAAACGACAATATTCAATTTAAAATTAACTGGACGCGGAATGCATCGTTTCGCTTTTCTCTTTATTTACGGGGCCAATTGCTTTAAAATTTTTGGTGGTTGAAGGTTCTATTTTTCGCTAGAATGCTAGATATTTGTCTCAAATATTTCTGTGAGTTTTACGAGATTCGTTTCGTTGTGTGCTATGACGTCATCTAAATTTGCGGCACCTATCAGCAGATTTCGTGCTCAGCTAACGTCGTAAGATCTCATGTTTGGCGTGGGAGTGGGAAACTTTTATGGGGTACAGTAGAATGCGATGACCTGATCAGGTAATACAACAGTGACTCGGATTAGTAGATGTTTCAAATCACGTTGAAACTGAATCGTGAAGAATGGATCATCGTCACAGGACCTGGGAAATCTGTGACAGTCGCTGTACCGTTAAGGTTACCGGTACCATGTGTGGGCGACTTATCTGTAGTGAGTTGTCCGTGTGGTCTAGTTGTCCGCCTCCTGATACGGCCCTCGGGACGGTTTTCGCGTATAATTTCCTTCCGTGTCAACATATTTGAGCATAGCTCCCTTGTTTGTTGAAAATGATTTGCTGATTAATTTCGGATCGAATCATTTCAAGTTAGTGTGAAATTATTTGAGCATGCTGCACACTCCTTGACTCACCTTGTCTGCCTGTATTCACAATTGCAATAATTACATCGGTAGGAATAGGAAATAACATTTAGGTAAAATAAATCGATTCTTCCAATGTTAAATTGATAACCATAAAAATTTGTTTTAACAGAGTATATAGTGGAAAATCGATCGGAATTTCCAATTTTAATAAAAGGGCGATGACCTATTATATAGACCGGTACCGGCACTATCAGACAATACCGTTTTTGGAGTGATCCTCAAATCGCCACACGATCGCCACGATCCACAATTTTTTAATAACCATAACATATGTGATAAAACAACGGACATATGGTGTATCTAATACATGAAAAGTTATAATTTCGACTATTGAAATTTTATGAAAGCGATTGGTTGAGTAGACGAGGTTTTTAAAATTTTGGAATGATTAGCAATAATGTGTGAGTATAACTTCCATCCAAATACCATCGACTGCATTTTATTTAATTCAATTCAATTTGAAAATCAGGTCTATATACAGATTTTTGAACTCGATTCAAAATGACCAGCCCTAGTCATATGAATACTGGTGCCAGGATACTGTTATGTTAAACATTCGCCTCGGGGATCCCTTTTGTTTGTAATTTTTACTATATGCGCTTAGATAGCTCACAACCAATTGTTCCGGTACATCGGAAGTCATCAATGATGGACGCCAACGACAACGAAATTATTCTAAATATTAATATCCCATAGATATATATATATCAACATATCGGCTTAGTTTGAGAGAAGGTTGTGCTTTTAAAAGTCATACACGATTCAATGATCTGCGATGGACCTGACCATGATGACAAGCAATATTTGGCATTACACCATAGTGGTTCTCAAACTTTTCAAGCCACGCCCCCTTTTTAAAATTTGTCAAGTCTCAAAAAAAAAAAAACGTTGAATATACGTGGATGGAACGTGAATATCCGAAATAAAACGGGCAAGATCAAATCTAACAAATATTTTTATTTATAATTAGCTTCACGTCCCCTCAAAAAGTATTCCAAGAGCAAGGGTGACTAAGGATAAGGCTGGGCAGTCACTAATTTCCCAGGAGTATTTTTTACGTCGGCGGAGAAGACAAAACATGGCGTACAATGAGGTAAAAAGAAGAAACATTTGTTTGTAGATTTATTACTAACGGTCAAAAAAATTTTTGTATAAATTTTTTCTATGATCTGAGACTCCTTTTTTTAGTGAAATATTCGATTGGTTAATATTTTGAATCTACCATACCTGTTATCTCATAAATAGCATTTTTGGCCGTTTTCGATTCAAATAATTTTAATATACTACAAATATATCACGTTATAATTCCTGGTATTACCCCAAAAAATTTTAAGTGCTACCGCCTTTTTTACTTTTTATCCAACAGGATATAAAAGATAGATTTGAATAAATTTTAAATCACTTGAAAGTGTGCGCCGACAATAACTCTTTTACATTCGGTTTTCCGATTTAACCTTCAATTAATTATATAATATGCTTTTTAAGATGATCTTATTCGTGGTATGTTGCATGTTCCTGTTAGGTGAAAGCAATGCAAGAGAAGTTCCACAAGTAATTCAAGTGGGGGAAAAGGGGTGAGGATGTGAATGTTTTGTTATAAATGTTGAAGAAAATGCTATGTGCGGTATATACTAGAATATATAGCTATACCAGGAGAAATAAATTTGATTTAAACAAATATTATTGAAGTTAAATGTCGGAGTAATTTATAGTGTTGTACATAGGCATTACATCGTACTAAATAAATAAGAAATAAGGGAGAAAAATAAGAGCTCCAGAAGGATGTGCACCTAGATGGCGGACACCGGAACGTTGTATGTGTATCAGGTTAGGCCATAATTTTATTCCAATGTTTCTTATTTCAGTTCTATTACGAGTTCGGAGACTAGCCAAGTGACTCCCATAGTATTTGTGCCTGAAATTATAGTCTAACACTAACCAGGTACACATACTACGTTCCGGTGCCCGCCATCTTGATTCACATACTTCTGGAATGCCGAAAAATATACTGAAAAACTTGAAAACAATTTTTGGCAAAAGTATAAATTGTTGAGTGTTACCAGTTTTCCTTTCCTTTATATATAATTTCCCTAACTCATATATTGCTGCAATCAATGAATAAACAATTTAAATTGTGTTATGTCTTGTTTTTAGGAGTGGATGCATAAGATCCGAGAGCAAGTACGACCCAAATCTTCATGTGAAAATATATGGAACCAGATGTCGGTATGGAAAAACAAGATGCTACACAAAAGAAATTGACATTATTACAGACAAATTCACACATAAGTTTGCATCCCCAGATGAACTACAACTCAAATTAAAATTTATCAACGACAGTAATGGTTAAAATCCCATTTGCCAAAATAAAAACTTGAGTAAAAACAATTAAGTATAATTATGAATTTTGTTTTTATGATTATATTTTATTATTCTCATATAACACAAACTCGACCTATAAATCGTCTTGCTTAATTATTGCTATTGTCTTTACTGATGTTAATATTGTTATCAGTGTTAATATAAAAAGCGTTTTTAATCCAAGTATTTGGCCACCTGATTTCCTGAAGAAGGGAGTGTTTTCTAATAGGCTTTTATTTTTTTAATTTATTC